AAATATCGTAACAATCAAGATACTAACAATGCTGTGGAATCAATGCATGGACACATGAAGAATTTTCTTTATGACTGGCGCAAGAATGAACATTAGCAACATTTGAATCATAGGAAATTGTGTAATGAGAATTTGTTACAAAGATCAAAAGAAGCTATTTGGTTTTATTTCAAATAAGAAGAAAGATCAGCGTGTGGTTGCAATGATCATCAATACATGATCTATGCTCAATGTCACTATTACTTGGCCTAATGGCTTTGCAGGCCCCACATTAATGAGCTTTACATCTAAGTCAAATAGAAGTTGTCTTGTAGATTGGAGGCTAGAAAAGTATGCATGCGAGTGCTTCTGTTCACTCCAAGGCAATTTTTGGAAATAACAAGTACACCTCAAATTGCAATTCTATTTTTAATTGCATATATTACAGTTTGACATTTGTATATTTGATCAATATTGCTTGTTTCTTGTGTGTCTAGATTCTCATTCTACAAAAGAAAGGGTGTTCTGAGACCAACATCTGCATTTGTTTGAACATACGCTTTGGTGAAATACAAGGTGGAATTAAAGAACTTTTTGAAAAAGACCCTTCATCATAGATATTTGATTTACATGAGTATCCAGTCACCTTTTGACAAGTTACACATATCGAAGTCGAAGATGATCATCATGATACTTTCAGCCCTACAAAAGGTAGTTCAAACTGTCATTTCAATGTCACAAGTGCACATATTACACATTGTGATCTTTCAATTTGCATGATCATGCAACTCTGTGAAGCTACTTAAACGTACACGTTTTCTATTTTATAAGATAGGGACAACCCTGTAGAAAAAAAAACAAAGCTTACAGATTTGAAGGAGAAAAAAAGGCCAAACATGCTCTCCATATTCAGTTGGTATGGCTGAAGTACTTTTTAGATGAAAGCCCAAGTATGAGCAAAGTGGGAGAGCTAGAGCTTTGACATTGCATTGGACGTATCAAGGAGTTTTACCCAGCATGAAATAGTGGTAGAATACTTCTTGTTGCACACATGTGGAATACAACCATGCTTGATAAGTCCACCTCATCATTCACGAGATATGACTTGGCTTGAAAAGTTAGCTGGCAATAAACGTTGTAAGCCACAAAGAGTACTTCAAAGAGAATAAAGATTTAGAGCCCCAACCACAGATTTAGGAAATGTAGAAGAAGCTGTTTTCCAGCTCAGACTGCAAAAGTACAAACAAAAGGCCAAAAAAAATCTAAAAAACTAATCAAACAATTCCTTCAAGCAAGTGCAAATAGATACAAACACAAACACAAAAAAGCTAAAATCCTAAGAGAGACTATTGACTTGATTCTTTTTTCCTAATATCTCTACTCGTGATGAGTGAATGTTGTTTCAATATCCCAATGAAATAATTTTTTTTTGTCCAATCCCACATTTCAACGTCACTATTTGCATATTACAATTTAGAATCCACAAACACTCCATTTGTTCTACTTTTCTTAATACACGCATCTCTAGAATTATATGAGTTGAACAATGCTGAAAAGAAGTAGGTTCATCTTAATTGTAATACTTGTATTACAATTGCTCTTATTGCATAAGCAAATAGATCCAACAACAAAAATGTGCAAGCAATCACGGTAAGTCATTGAAAGACCAAAGCCAGCTAACAAAAATGTTCATATACAACTCTAGTTTTCTTTCTCTCTTGTGAATGCCACGTCTTTGCTTTGCAATGGATGTCAAAAACGTTTGTGTCTGGCTAGTGCGATTCTCACCTTTCTCAAAAACTGGAAACGAGTATTGGATTAATCATTTCACTTGCTTGCTAGGCGCTAAGTCCCACCGCATCACATAATTGACGACATTGTCATTACAAATTTGCATGTATAAAGCACAATAAATTTGACATGACAAAGCATGACATCAAATTTGAAAATCTGTAATGCTATGGCTGAAATCTCAGATTGGCCGGAACGATTTACTTTGTGCAAAAAACATTACCATAAAAGGTTTAATTTGTGGACAAAAAGAAGCTCACTTAGAATTACTCGCACAATCTTGTCCATGTCTACATCATCATAAGCATTATTTCTCCATTTTAGAAAGTCAGCATCAAGAACATACGATTGCAGATTTGCAATTTGTAATCTTAGGTTCACAATGCAGATGTCACTATATGGAAGAGCACATACTAGTGGGCAAAATTTCAAGTAAAACATCAAGGAGTTGATCGAGAGGGAAGGATTGAGTTCAAATTTAGTGGAAGGTCAAATTGTGATTTTCATAGACAAGTAGACAGATATTACATATTGAAAATCATATTACATATCATCAATGGTAGTTTGCATAATTGAAAATGCTTGTTGCAAGGTTGTCCTATCCGTGAAACTTTTTCCCACAAGGATTACATTGAAAAGCATTGGAGAATGATCATGTGGATTGCCATCTCTAGATTACACAGGAGCTTTCACTTAGACCAAAAACAAATGGAATTTCTAGGAAGTTTGACAAGAAAGAGTTGATTGCCTCCTGTGATAAACATTTTGGAAACTTTTGCCAGCGTTGGGTCAAACACAAGCAAGATAAATTTAAGTTCTTCCGAGACGATGTATGCAGATGTTTCTTGAAAACTTCTTTTCTTATTTGCATTCTTTACTTAGAATTGAATTCATGCAGACACTTACAAAAATCACAATTTGTTGTTTTCAGAGTGCAATAACCGCAGACACATTGCAAAAATGACAATTTGAGTGATGTGTCCAGATTGTATAAGGGTATATTGACCAAAAGTTGTATTTTCTGATCACGGGGGAGAATACAAGCCATTTGGAAGAACTGCTGGTGATTTTGAATACCATGCTACTCGTCTGCAAGAAATTCCTTCCAAGCTAAGAGACGTTGAGAATTCTAAAGTTTGCAAAATCTGTGTTTGATCATCTGGACAAGCTGCTTGATCCTTGTAAGAGAAAGTTATAATTTGTGGATTCTATTGAGGAGTGGGTGAAGGAAGAGCAGGCCAAACAAAGTAAGAGCAGTCATGGTCAAGGTAAGAAGAATGTAGAGACTTATATTGAAGATTGAAACAATTGAAAATCTTGTGAAAACCTTATTACAAATGACAAATGCAAAGATTTGAATGAAGAGACAAAATAATGGATAGTTTTATGTGAGAAGTACAATTGAATTGAACATTCAAACTCGAATCCATCTTTGGAGTGCAATGAACGAATTATGTTGAAATTTTTGGATTATCTTTATAGTCCAACGGGAGGAAAGGCTAAACTTGATCTTGGAGAAAACATTTTGAGAAGTCGAATGAAGCGAATGGCAGACCTAAGCGTCGTCAAAGATGAACAGACAACTAAGAGAAACGTGATATTTTCTTATTCGTGACATACAGGTTTTTTAATATATATAACCTTCTACTAAATATGTAGGTATTACATTTTGGTTCCAATGTGGAAATGTTTGTTCATTCCAGATTACAATCTTTTCAATACAGTTCGACGTATGACAATTTGGATATGATCTAAGAGTAATGTGTTCGTTATTTTTACAGGGTAAAATCTTAAAGGTAGCACTTAATGAATCGAAGTAAGATGATTCCATTGAGCCTATAAAGTCTTTTTTATGTTTGTAGATATCTCAATGGGAACTGAAAAATGGGAAGCAAAGGTTGAAATAAAGAGTATGGATGCAAAAAAACGAGACATTCTCTTGAAGTGAGGAGCTAATTATAAAGCAAAAGAAGTTGACGGTTCATATAAGATCTATGTTAGCACAATTAACAAAAAAGTGTCGACAATATGGATTGTTGTTGCCATTTTGTTGACACTTTGTTGTCAATTGTGCTAACATGGATCTTATATGAACCGTCAATTTTTTTTGCTGTAAAATCAAACCCCCATTTGAAGATAATGTTTTGTTTTTTTGCATCCATCCTTTGTAATTAAATCCTTGTTCCCCATTTTTCAACCTTTCGCGATATATCTACAGACATAAAAAGATTTTATGTACACTACAAAATCATAAAACTCTTATTCATCAAGCGTTGCCTTTGAATCTCACCTTATAAAAATAACAATTACTTTATTTTTAAACCATGTTCAAACTATCATACGTCTAACTATATTGAAGAGGTTGTAATCTGGAATGAACATAATTCCACATCGAAATCAAAATGTTATACTTGCATATTTAGTAGGAGATTACATATTGAAAAACCTTTAAGTCACGAATAAGAATGTCTCACCTTTCTCCGAGCTGTCTGTTCATATTCAAAGACGCCGAGGTTTGTCATTCGCTTCATTCGATATCTCAAAACGGTTTCCCCATGATCCAATTTAGCTTTTTTTTCTTTTGGACTCTAAAGATCATCCAAGAATTTTAAGTTAATTCATTCATTACATTCTAAAGATGGATTTAAATTAGAATATCTAATCCAACTCTACTTCCCACAAAAAACTATCCACTCTTTTGACTCTTCCTTCAAATCTTTACATTTGTCATATGCAATCAAGTTTTTCACAAGATCTTGCATTGCTTCAATCTCTTCAATGTAAGTCTTTATATTTTTCTTACTTCGATCGTGACTGTTGTTACTCCATTTGGCATTTTCTTCCTTCACCCACTTCTCAATAGAATTCACAAACTCTAACTTTCTGTTACAAGAATCAAGTAGCTCGTCAAGATGATCAAACACAAAATTTGCAAACTCTGAAATTCTCAATGTTTTTCAGCTTGGAAAAAAATTCTTGCAGACGAGTTGCATGGACCTCAAAATCACCGGCGGTTTCTCCAAATGACTTATAACTCATTCGTGGTTAAAGAATACAACTTTTGGTCAATATATCCCAATACAATCTTGGCACATCACTCAAACCGTCAATTCTGTAATATGTCTGTGATTATTGCAATCTAGAAACAACAAATTGTGATTTTTGTAACAGTCTACATGAATTCAATTCTAAGTAAATAATGCAAATACGAAAAAAAGTTTTCTAGAAACATCTTCATACATCATCCCGGAAGAACTTCAATTTATCTTGCTTGATCCAACGTTCGCAAAAGTTTCCAAAATGTTTGTCACGAAAGGCAATCAACTCTTTCTTGTTAGACTTCTTAGAAACTCCATTCGTTTTTTATCAAAGAGGAAGCTTCTGTGTAAATTGGGGATTGTAGTCCGAATGATCTTTTCTTCCATGCTTTTCAATGCTATCTTTCTGGAAAAAAGTGTCATGGAAAGTACAACCTTGCAGCAGGCATTTCCAGTTATGTCTACTACCCTCGGTGATGTGTGGCACCTTCGCATAATGATTATCCAATACCGCCTCTTCTATTTCGCCCCCAGAAGCTCCCGCCATGTGCGCATAATCTGCAAAAAAATATTTCCAAAATGTAATCTCCCACTTCAAAGTATGATTCTAATATAGACTCACACAATCAAATGTTAAAATATTATGAATTTATGATTCAATGAACCTTAACTATGTCGAAACTCAAGCCTCGAGAATACAATAGTTTAGGGTGAATCCTCAGAGCCAGCACTATTCAAACACTCGTACAATTAACCCTACCGCATCAAACTTCCATCAAGTGTCAAAACAATGCGTAAGCATTATGCAAGGATCATCATAAGAGATGTTTCGCACTACAACAACTCCATGATGGCTAAACTTTGCAAGTCCAATCTTCTCCCATCAACCTGAAATCCCTTTCTATTAGGAATTTGTCCTAAGGGCTGCGCTGTGTCAACAAGAATACCTAAGATCAAATGCTACGATTCATCTATGCTACTAGTGACTAGATAGGAACGCAAATGTGTAAACGTTATAGCAAGCCGTAAGAAAAAATTACAGTATCTCTTCATGTAGTGAAACTAGGTAATAAGAATCTAAAAGTGCAGGATTACTAAGAAGCTATGTTTCAGACGGGGTGGCAAGTGGACACTCTTTATTTTGAAGTATGGCATGTTCCCCTGAAATAACAATAGAACACAACATAAGAAAAGACTAGGAACCTTATGTATGTGTCGTGAGAGTTACTTGTTACATCTTAGAAATTGAAAATAATATTGCATACTCGGCACAAACTAGTACAATTGGGCTCACATGTTTAAAAGATAGAGATACACCACAGCTGTGGAAGTCCGCAAACTTCAACATGAACATGCCACAATCACATCTGCACGTTTTAAAGCAAGATCTAGGAGCATTAATATCTAGACAAGATTGGACATATCCAGGATCAATACTGAGCAGTAGTTGACATTTTAAAAGAAAGCTTGAGCATAATTCCTTCAATAAACAGAACTCGCAAGTCAAAAGATGAAGTCGCAAATATAAATATATCTAGTAGTACATAAATGTACTGATATTCCATCGTTCAAAGTAAAAGCCGATAAACTTATAATTAAAGATAACTTTATGATATAGAACTCCCAGGTGTTAGAATTTCAGGTTCTATATTCTCTCCTAAGTAATGCGCAACAGGATGTAAATCTAGAGCCAAAATTTATCCTTTAAGTTGCTGGGGAATGTCTTGATGGAATTTATGTTCCCATGTATTTGAGTTCAATACATTTCCGTCTTTAAACTTAGTTTCATCAACCATATAGCGAGCCTGCACCACACAGATACCACCTTTTCACTACAAGGTATGCATGTGGATATTGAGAGTCTAGATACTTTTCAAAAGAGTACAATTCATGTACTAAATAAACTTTCAGAAAAATTTGACCAAATAGCAACTATTTGCAAGAAATGAACAAAATCCAAAATCTTGATCCGAATACAAATAATTAGGAGTATGAAGAAGCTTTGAAGAGGAAAATAAAGTAACGATATGAAGTCGTGTGCGCAAGGGATAGCAAACTTACAAGAACTTTCAGAATTGTATTATCACCACCTTGTAAAAAATCAAGATACTCAAGTTCTTTATTGCGGATGTTGATAACGGCTAAACATCATTGAATATCTTCATGAATTGGAACCAAAATCTGAAGAAAAAGAACATGTTGCAATGTAATTAAATTTTCATGCTTGGAAGTTATACATATAGAAGGCCTTAATACATATGGGTGATACAGGACTTTGATGATCACCTTGTTGCATTTCGATTGGACCGGACTTTGTCTTTGTTGATGAATCTTGAATGAAATTTGAGATGAGCATACTCTTCTTGCCTTTTTTTTGGAGTACCATACTTATAATAATACATTGTACACAATTCCCAACCGAACCCAACCCCTGCATCCTTGTATGAACAACGTGTCACAAACTTTGTCTTGGCATCACTATAACAAGATATCTTTTCCAAAACGAAATTATTAAGCCTCAATCTTTTGATGTAGACCATCCGATTGGATCAATTCAAGGAAAACGAGTTGAAAATATCATCCCACGGTGGGTACTGTGCAATCACATGCCTCATGTTGTCATCACACCTCCAAAAAACATACAAACATGATTACAAACAGCAATGGACATTTGAAATGACAAGAAAAAGATGAACACGAGCTCCTCACATTGGCACTACCATGCAAAAGCGACGTTGAAACATCAAGTAGCACAAGGATATCGATGTGATCCATTTATACGCTACATAAATTTTTGAATTTTTCCACTTAAATTTTTTTGCCACAAGATGTTATCACTATGTGAATTACATGTATTATAGTATGAATTTATTAGGAAGACCATGCCAAGTGGTCTTCATAATTGAACATTATCATGAAACTCAAAAGCAATTCCTAGCAAAAGCGATACAGATATTCCGAGCAAAAGCGTGAGCGTGGATCAAACACACAACCTTTAGATCTTTAGTCTTACGCTCTTCCAATTGAACTATTGCCGCTGATGTCACAACTAACGTAATGTTAACTTTTATAAATTCAACAATTTAGATTCTACTGAGCAGTTTCTATAATGACATCGAGCACAATGCTTTCCAGGTACTCGAAAAGTCGGATCCCAAAAGAAAAAAGACCCCACAACTGAGATAAAAACCGGAGGAAAGGCTAGGTCCACCGTTTCAATCACGGCTGCCCAAAGCAAACATGAAGTGACAAAGAAACAGGGGATCCCTAACACCTGAAAGTTCGGCAGTTTTTGCAACTAAGCAAGGGGATTCGAGCCGAAGATGACAAAGTTGAGATGTGCATCATCTAGTATAGAAATTTCAGCGAGCCGCAAAAGATGGCCATGCAAGATTTCTTTTCGTAAGTAATTAACTTTAACAATCTTATTTGTGTGGCTCTAAGCGTGAACTCGCAATGATGAAAGATGATTGCACTCTATAAGAAGTTGAAAGACGGTTCGGAATTGATGCCTTAATGCATGATTTGAAGACAGAGATCAATGACTTTGGATGCAATCATGCAAAATCCTATCATTGGTTGTCATCAAGAATTACTTGGTTAATCTAAATTGCATTTTTTCATAACAATCAAATATAGATTTTAAGTCAACCTCATTGACAAAGTATTTTTGTGAGATTATTTTGATATGATAAATTAATCACTTTATCACACTCTAGACAACACAAATTATCAAGTTATTGTGAGATTGTGACATGGAGTTCAATTACTACTTTAATAAAAAATGTTCATGAGCCTTAATGTCATTAGCAATATGATGGGTATAATAATATGTGGGAGAGTATATTCATATGTATGCTTTTTTGCAGGCTAAGAATCGTTCACATAAATGGTTGTTAGTGAGAATATGAAGAAATGGCTACTTATGGTAGGCCATTTTCATTCAATTAAAAACATAGAGTCACATTCGGAAAAAAAGGAATTAACTATCTAACAGTCTAATTTTTAAGTTAATTACTCCACTGCCAAATTGGCACATGGACACTTTTTATCTCAAATCTGGTTGCAAACCCAATACAAGAAGATTTGATATATCTGGAATTAGATACAGGATTTAAACATTATTTCATTTTGTGACATAAAAATTACAATTTTGGTATGATTTATTGGTATAAATAATTATATTGCGATGCGTTACATTAAACAACAATTAACGTATATCGAAATCTAGTTTAAGGGTATATGAAACCAATAACAGACACTTTTTCTCCAAATTTTCTGAAAGATGATCACTCATCTCGACAAAAGTAAATGATAAATCAAACCCGGGGGATCCAAAGGCTAAAAAACACAATACAAGCAACAACCACAAACAAAGGAAAAGATCCCAAATGGTACATTGACTACATCACATTCTCTAATTGATTGTGAAATTACGTTACACAACATATTTTCATTACTTTACAAACAACATTGTGCAACAATAATTACAAGACATCAAAACCTACAAACGACGTGACACTAGATATTCGTGTTTTCTATACATAGTTTAATTAATATAATTTGGATATCATAGATATTACAAAGCATGTATACCGCTGGAACTTAGTTTGCATCACTTTCATTTTGGCCTAAGTATCTCAATAAACATTAAAATTGGAGTTTTGTGTAAGTTGATACCTTTGATAGGAGCTTTGTGTGAACAAAAAATGTGGCCTTAGATTTCGTTTAGCACTTATTGATGGCCAGACCGCGTTCACCTGATGAAGGAAAGGTAAGCTTCTTCAAATGGTTGTGTAGGCTTCGGTCGACTGAGTATGTCACTAGCAAAAGTCATGCAACCTCGAAACTACGGAGATCATTACGTCACTGACATTCGGACGGAGAGTAATAAACAAAAGCTCTAATCTCTGGACATGACAACCACTATGTCACCGCTCGTTCTCAAACGCCTTCTCACGCCAGAAACTCGAAACGAAACACTAAACAGAAACAGAATATTCCAGATAGATCTGCATGCCTCGGTGCAATGATGTGAAAGCACAAACATACATGCAGGAACAACAACGATAACAGAGCGCAAACCTGTTCATAAAGCGAGCACGACGCAGCCCTATTTCATGTCACTCTCTCAGCGCCATGAGGTTTGTTCCAAACTCCTCACTGCTCGCCAGGTCTTCTTCCATCGCGGCCGGGAAGTCGACACAACGGAAGGGCGAAAGGAAGGAATCAGACGAAGAAGAAGAAGCCGACCCCAGAATACGCAGAGCTCGCTCACAGCTGCCAATTGTTGTTGATGTGCTGCCATGCTTCTGTCGTCCGTCGAGGGAGAGATGGCGAGAGGGGGCGGTCCGAGCGGAGGGACTTGGCATCGACGAGTGCGGATACGAGAGCGGCCATGCTCCGGCCTGAACCGGTCGATCGGGGTCGAGGCCCAGTGGACTATCCGATCTGGAGGGTATGAAAGATCGGCGGAATCCGGAGCAAGAGGAGGTGGAAACCCGGACAGAGTGAGCTGGAAGGGTCAGTCGAGTTTCCGGTGAGCGCCATGGGGTCGACCGGCTTGCTCCGGTCCTGGCTCCTCCTGCGACTCCTGCTCTCCGGTTCCGCTGCCCCGCCCGCTCGCTAGCTCGTCCGTCCATCCGTCCGGCCGTCTGTCCGTCGGGAGGGGGGCGAGTGGGCCGTTTCGCTGGAGCTCGGGGCTCGCCCTGGGTTCCGCTGCCGCGCGGTGGTCGCAGGCTCTGGCTTGCCTAGGGCCGGTCTCTGGGTCCCCTCCCCTCCCCTCCCCTCCCTCCTCCCGGCCCCCGGGCAGCGCACAAGTCAAACGGAGGCTCTGCACAGCTGGTCTGTCTGGCCGTTTGTCTGATTCAGTCCATGCTCCAGTCCATCTCCTCGCGGCACCTCCTCCCCCCCCCCGCTCTGTACGTCGCGCTGCCTCTTCTGCTTCTTCATCTGCTCCATCTTCCCGTTCGTCTTCTCGTTCTCATGATGTTCATGTCGATGTCGATGTTTGCGCTCTCGTTCGTGGTTGCCAGACTTTAGCAGGCTTTTCGTTCGTCCGTTCGTCAGTTCAGCAGCGCCCGGAGGCGTTGCTGCGGAGTCTGGATTGGATTGGGTGAGATTAGAGTGGAGCAAGGGGAGGATTTTATATTTTTTTAGCGCGGAGTGCAGCAGCAGCGGATTGGAATCGTGAGCATTGCGTCGCCATTCATTCGCGCGACGAGGTCGTGCCGCACGGGAGGAAAGAAAGAAAGAACCGCGAGCGATCTCTTTCCCCCGACGATGCGCTGCTGTTGCTGCTGCTCCTCCTCCTCCTCCTCGTCCCCCCTCGTCTGATCGCTGCACTCGCTCGATTGCACGAGGTGAGCTGCCACCGAGAGGGATCGGGTGGAATTCCGAGCAGGGGCGGGCAGCATTGCCTGGCATTGCGCGTCGGTGGGGTTGGCGCTGCCGCTGCGATGGGAGCTCGGCGCTCGCGCCTCCCCGCTGCCCTTTCCCCGGGCTGCTCGTCCATGCTCGCCCGTCTAGCTTAAGCGACGCGCTCGCAGGTGGCTGACGCACGGGAATTCGGATTATGGTTGCGCTTGTGCCAGCGGCGACTGCAGGTGCGGCCGTATGCGAGTAGTTGACAGTTTTCCGCACGGACGAGGCCGCAGGTGTCGTAGTGGTAGCTGCCGCAGGAGGGAGAGGGAGAGAGGGAGAGAGGGAGAGGGAGGGAGGGAGGAGGAGGAGGCGGTGGGGGCAAACTTATGTCTAACCATGACGTCCGGGAGCGCCACGCCCAAGCCAAAGCGCAGGTTGCCGGTCTTCGGGAGCGACTTCAGGAGAGTCGATCTCGTAAAGCGGATACGGATGGTCAGTCGGTTTTCCCTCCACCCTTGCTCTGAATCTTGCGCTAGTCCTGCTGCTCCTAGTTCTGCAAGCTTACTACTCCACTGTCTTCTCGAGAAGAAGGTTTTGCGGGATTGGACTGTCCAGATATTTTTTTGTCACCGGTGCTTTAGATCGTGGGTTTGCCGTCTTGGTATACCGCGACTGGTGCACGTCGAATTCGATTTGTCCGCACTAGTTTGGGCATCTTTCGGCACCCCAATTCGTAATGCTGCGTTTACTTTGACACGCGCTTGCTTTTTTGTCCATCTTCGTCGGTGGATGTGACCGAAAAGCAAGAAGACGTGCGGGAAAGATGAAGAAGGTGGAGGAGGAGGAGGAGGAGGAGGAAGAGGGAGGTTTTCGAAAATCGTTGCATGTAGGTTGGGTTTACGCACTTTGGACAGTGAGGAATGAAGGACGTGCTGCTCTGGACTGTCAGAGCGTCCTTATCGAGAAGCTTGCACCAGGACATGTATACAGTAGTGTTTTGTTGAGTCGTCTTGTTCTGGATGTAGTCTCTCGTTTATCGAGCTGGTCTTTATCCGAGTACTGTAGCTTATGTGGGAGGATCTGCCATGGATGTAACAGTGGCGACGTATGCAAGAGGTAATGGGCGGTCGGCTGTGAAATTCAGTGACGATTTCAGGCTCTGCAAGACTCTCCAAGGTCATACGGGAAAGGTCAGTAGATAGTTCTGTTTTGGTCGGGGACATTCTGATTGCTTGTTCCGCTTGTTCTCACGAGGCCAATTTGATTTGTCTGTTTCTTCAGTAACCGAAAATCACAAGTGGCATATGCCTTGTCATTCGCGGTATCTGTGCACTGAAATTGCGGACTTATCTCGTGGACTCAGATTTATTCCCTCGACTGGGCCTATCAAGCGGAAGACCGTATTGTCAGTGCTTCTGGAGATGGAAGACTCATCGTTTGGAATGCACTTACGAGTCAGAAGACACACGCTATCAAGTTGCCGTGTCCCTGGGTCATGGCTTGTGCGTTCTCGCCTAGGGGACGTTCAGTTGCGTGCGGGGGACTTGACAACATGTGTTCCATTTTCAACCTAAGCTCTCCACCTGATGCGGATGGGAATCTTCCAGTGTCGCAGACTTTGTCTGGGCATAAGTCCTACTTGTCTTGCTGTCGATACGTGCCTCACAGTGATAATAACATCATAACCAGCTCCGGTGATGAAACTTGCATACTTTGGGATGTGGACAGGAGTCAAAAAATTTCCACATTTGGTGGTGAAGCGACCTCTGGCCACACTGCGGCAGTAATGAGGTACTTTTTCCTGCGTTAGAGTTTTTGTTTGCTTTACCAGGCTTGTTCGATGTCCACTTACTTGCGGTGTCGTTCCAAATCCTTTCTCGTTGCGGCATCATATAAAAAATTCCGCTTATTTGCCTTATTTGCCTCTTTGACATAGTCCATAACATGAGCTCCTTCAGGAACTCATGTTCTGGACTATGTCTGTCGTGGTCATTAACGAGGAAAATTCTCGCTTGGTGAGATGAGAGTTCCACCTAAGCAAAAGAATTCGTCAACTGCTAGAAGTTTTGCAGGCTTACCAAAAAATCCACTCTTTTGTTGCGTTCCTCCTGGAGCTGGCGAAGATATCTGTCTTACACGTTTTAAGACCAAAGCATCCCGCTCTGGCTCCATGGAACGGACAATTGAGCAGCATAGTCTCTTGTTCTCTGTACAAGTCGTAGACAACTTCTTTCTCTCTGTTCCCACCTGTCCTTACTCCAGCTTAATCAACAAAGACACTTGTTAGTTTCCACTGGTATGTTTATTTCTGCTCAGTCAAGGTTAAGAAGCGGGAACTGCACTGAGACGGGTTCTTTCCCGTGAATTTCAACTCATATTCACCAATCAAATGTATCTTCTGTGTTGTGCGAGTGAAGCCGAGTGACGAATTTCTGAGAATAGCTGATGGGAATGTGCCATGTTGTGGTTTCGAAACGTCTGCATATAACAAAGTAATTTGGGTGTGCTTCGCAGCGTTTCTGTGAGCACGGTCAGTACCCCTCAAGTGTTCGTATCGGGGTCCTGTGACAAGACTGCAAGGCTTTGGGACACACGCATGAAAAGTGCACCTCAAACATATCAAGGGCATGACGGGGATGTGAATGCAGTCTGCTTCCTTCCTGACGGAAAACGCTTCGGAACGGCTTCGGATGATGGAACATGTCGGTTATTCGATACTCGTACAGGTTACCAGTTGCAGATGTACAGCCATCCTCGAGGAGATTCAGTGAAAGTGCTAGCAGTAGCGTTCTCAAGTTCAGGACGCCTAATGTTCGCTGCATATGACAACGAAGATTGTTATGTTTGGGACACAATAATGTCAGAGGTGATGCACATACCTCACCTCTCTGGTGCCACCACGTGCTGTCGATTATCTTTTACTTTTTTGGCCATCCCAATTTGGAAGCGTTATGCTGAAACTGGGCTCGTAGTACTCCCACCAGACAAGAGACACAGTCGCCTAACTGATTCTCTTACTGATACCGACGCAAACATTGAAAGTCCTTCCTTTACCTCTCTCTTGCCTTTCTACTGAGGTGATTTAGCATCGTTTGTAGTTGCTGTCTTATGTTCCCTTCTCATGCACAACTGACCATGTGCTTCAATGCATGCAGGTCGTAACGAATTTAGCTGAGCACAGACATGGCCATGAGAAGCGGATAAGCTGCTTGGGTTTATCCAGAGATGGAAGTGCACTCTGCACAGGAAGTTGGGACAATACCCTGAAGGTAAAGTTGTCTGGGCCTCTGACACAGTCTGTCCCCGTAGACACTCATTCTTTATTTCGATTCTTCATTTGGGATTTTGGTTGTCAAGCAAAGGCTCCATCTTCCCCCTCTAGACGAGAGCACCTTGCTACATAATCACCTCCTGAACAATCATCCAACTCAAACTCTGAGTCCGTAGAATCAGTGTGCAGGACCGAGTATTTCAATTTTGAGTTCTTTTCATGGCTGTGTAAAGATGTTGTGAGTTTCTTGTCTGGCAGTTGAGAAACTCCATTACATTCCAATCCCATAAATGATTTTCGGCAGAATTGCGATTTAGAACTTGTCTCTGTTCTCCTAACTTCTGTTTTATGCAGGTTGAGACAACTATTTTCAACGATTTTCTCTCACTTACTTAAAAGTTTGCCTTTCGTGTGGTTTGGTTTTGCGTTATACAAAGATCACTGCTGCGTGAGCGAAGATCTATTATGCTAATATAGGTGCACTCTGTACATGGCCTGCAGGTCTGGGCCTTCTCAGGTCGGAGAAATCGTGACTAAGGACGAGGCAGAGTTACAAACTTCCTCCTCCATACAAGAAGCTGCAAACTTTGTCCTTGATTCGTTCGCTCCTTTATGTCTGTCCGGGGGTTCTTATTTTTTTGACCTTTTATGGGCCTCGACAGTCTTAACACTAAGATCTACCTTGCAACCAGTTTGCTTACAGTGCATGGACTGCAGACGTTGCATTTGCAAGTAGGCGAGAGCTTTGACTTCTCTCGTGTCAAAGGAGAGTCCAGAGACTGCGGCACACTCCAATCTAGTTGAAAGGTGCAAAAACGAGTCGACTGCCTTTAGCTGAGGACCAGATGGCACATCGTGGATGATTGGATTTGAGGCTCAAATCCGTTCCATGAAGGAAACGACTTTGGAACTGCAAGGAGTTTTCGTGTCTTGCGAGTGCATGCGAAGTGCTGTGCGCATGCCCGGATGTAGTGTATATAGACTGGAGTACATCAGTGTTTCATGAGGTCTAATGTCAGGCTGATTAGCCCACCACGTTAGGACCATGTTTCATCCCATTATTTGTTCAAGAGAATTATAAGACTTCTTGGAACTTTACCTTCTGAGAGATAATCAAGCATCATCTCATCAACCTTTATACCTGTCTTGGTCGACCTACGGCGAGACAGCCCTCCACGAACCGAATCCCATTTATTATCGCTTCATTTGTTCTGAATCCAGGGAACGAAAGCATGTGCGCAGCTGTGACACAAGGTTTTACCTCTGGCACTTGCGCCACTGCAGAAGTCTCCCGGAAGTTGTTGACTTGAATTTCCATGTCGTTGACCCACCTTCGTCCTGTTTTAATTATAGTGTTAGAGTCTCTGTTCCACCAGCGCACTATGATAGCACTCCAGCTAAAAGATGCCCCTTGGACCTCAATTGACTACAGTTGGCCTTATGTTGAAATTGAGTTTTGACTTTGGGCCCAGCGTGTGGAAGACTCTCCCTGGTGTCCAGCACGAGCGAACCAGCGACGGCCTGCAGAGTTACAGTCCAATGTTTTTATTTCATCTAGTCAAGGGGAAAGTCGTTTCGGCACTTTGACTCCTACCTTGCGACATCCAAATCTTTCTTCCGCCTCTCCTCCTTTTTCACAACTTCTTATGCTGCAACATTCCCCTCTCTTCAAGAAGAAAAGATTGTTGCCAACTGAACATTCAGAGTGACGAAAAGAATATGACGGAACGTCAACCGATACTCGTTGAAATGGTGAAGCGTACAGTTCGAAAAGAAATTTGTCGTCTTTCCCTCGCACAAACGCAAAGAAGAATGCACAGTCATCGTGACGTTACGTTTTAGTGGCAGTTTTTCAGCAGGCTTGAACTGAAGCACAAGGATAAGTGACTGTACGTGACCAAAAGCCGGGATACCCTCGTGAACGGCACCAACATCAGAAGTGTACATAGTCCGGTCACACATTTTCAGACGCTTTTGCAGTTCAAAACCCCAATGCAAGATGGCAGCAATACTAGCTGGCAAGAGTTGCATGCATGTGTCATGGCAAGCATCTTCCAGCTAACTCGCATATCTCCCCTCCCTCTGCCTTCCTCTTCGACTACCATCACATGCTCCTGAGTTTCGGCGGGGGCCAGCAATTAGTCACACCATCTTCCATCTGTGTCTCATGGACAGTACTCGATCACTCTCTCTCTCTCTCTCTCTCTCTCTCTAGCCTACGACAGCAAAAGCAACTCACCAGCCATGGAGATCGGACCTTTTATCGACGGCATCCCATCTCAATGCATGATCAAGCAGCAGGAAAGCAAGCGCAGCACAGCACAGCAGATCTCACGCCCTATCTCTCCCTCTCTCTTTCTCATTCACAAACAACGACCCGTAATAGATCACAGCTGTGACGCTGCTCCTTGATACCAGCGAAGTGGTAGTAGAAGTGTCTTTTCCTCGTCGTTGGCGGTTGATTGCATTGAAATACACGCATGAAAGCAGCTCAGCTGAGAGTGTGAGGGAAAGAGGGAGAGAGGGAGGAAGAAAAGGAGGAATATTCACCACAACTGCAACAGACAAGTCCAAAGCCCCAGAAATGATGGGACCTTCGTTGCATCACCATCCATTGCTTGCCCCATGCAAGGGAAAGAGGGAGGGAGGGAGGGAGTGCGAGGAAACGCACTCACCCACCGAGTGACACAGAGCGTTGCCCGCACTGACCTCACGCTGGCACCAACAAATTGCAACAAGTTCGAATCACGACTTTGGAGCGCAGTCTTTCCGGCTCATCAGCTCGCAATCATGCAAGCTCGGGCCCCCTTCGCTTCTCCTCGCATCTCACCACCACACTGCTCTTCTCCCTTCCCCCTTCCTCTGCAAACGCCCGTTTGTCATCTTCCTGTTCCGAATTCCCTGCCCTCCCTCTTTTTCTCCTTTTCTGGCAGCTTTTCCCCCTCCAAGAATTCTCCAGAATCTTTCCGTCGGCCTCGAAAGCCTCGAAAGTCTCGAAGCCCACACCGTATCCCCCCAGGGGAACGAACGAACGAACGAACGAGCAGAGCAGCTCACCTCTATCCGCTCGGAGGCCCTCACGAGAATCAACAGCGCGACCGTTTCCGGCGGCACTCGAAGAATAGAAGTCGCCCGTCGATGCGGTGGACGGAGGCTTCCGGCATCTACGACGTAGCCCTCGATGCTTTCTGCATCTACGACGTAACCCTCGCACTGTGGGCCAACGCGGTCGTGAACTCTGCCCCTTTACGTTGTTTGTCCTGCGGATATTTCTGTTCCTTGGCCTTGGGATTGGCGATTATCGAGGCCAAAGTCTTCGAATTGGCCGCTTCCTTCTGCTCCTTTACGCGACTTTGGGGTTCTTTCATAAAATGGTTGTAGAGAATTGATTATTTTGTCGCGGATTCTTCCCATCTTTCGTTCGACTTTTACCTTTAGTGGTCAATTATTATCCATCGCTAGGCACGCGTTTTATTCGTTTTCATCCTTCTATGGAGACTAATTTTAATTCATGGACTTTGTTATGTAGGCAGTGACGCGCCTGATTGCCTGGATACACATCTATGAAACGGATGAGAAAAACAGACGTATATGAAAAAGAGGATGAGGAAACGCTCACGGTGGAAACCTTGGTCAGAAAGTCGATAAATCAAATCCTTGTCCAAGAAACCGTTGACGCATATATGCTTAATCTTGTGCAGGCTATATACAATGTAACTATTGAAGAAAACTGTCTTTTGTCATGTTTAACATACAAAACCACAATCTACGCAACAAAAACATAGATATTGGTAGGTTTTAGTTTGGAAAATACGCAATGCAATATAAATTTCTTTGTTATATTATATATCATATTGCTAATGTTATGATGGATTAATATTATTTTTATCTAAAATAGTTCTGTGAACCTTATGCAAATAAGGTAATACCATCTCTAAAAATTGAAGAATGAGAATAATGAAGCGATTACTAGCTAAGGCAAAATTTATGTAGCCAAAGTGAAATAATGAAGTTTAGATTCTTATCCTGGAATGCTAAGAAATGAACCCCACTAGAACTATGAAAAATGATTGTCTACATGTATCATAATTATAAGATAAGATATGTTCAAAACAATATATAAATCATTAAAAAAATGATAAGATCTTGAAATTATTTTCAAAATATGAAAAATATTAAAAATATTTAAAAGTCATAAAAATACAATTTTTAATGGAAAAAATTATTGAACAGCACAAAAAATTATGAAACTTGGTATTTAATCAAGTTTAAATTTCAATATTACAATTTTATTAAATTTTTAAAAAACTATAATCATTTTTCATATTTTTTATTGTTGAATGATACACACAATCAAAATTTTTATTTGATGATGATCAAATGCAATGAAAATAAAATATAAAAAATACATATTGACAAAACACACAACTTATGTTGTTAGACGAAAACACCTTATGTCTACACACAATCTTAGATCATGTCATAATCTACATTCTCACCAAATTTTGGCAACTGAAGCACTCACATTTTCAACTGTTTTGGGATTTTACTCCACTGAAAATACCGCAAAAAAAAATCCTTGAAGACAAACCAGAATATCAATTTCCAAATTTCTTTTCAAACCGCTCTACAAAAACACATTATGTCTATGCACGATTATAGATCAGCTCCTGGTCTACATAATCATCACCTTTTGACAACTCAAGTACTCGGATCCGAATTGATTTGCAATTTTACTCTGTTGAAATATTTTTCAATTCTCTCCAAATTTTATGATCAGATTTTCATATACTTCAATGGATATTATTTTCAAACTTCTCGATAAAAACATGTGAAACTGGTCTGAAGAGAACCAATTTGACAAAACATGTCAACTCTTTGTTTCCACGTCTAGATTAAACATACTATCACAGCACCAGCAGTAGATATCTGGTCCCAATTTTGGAGATACGACCAAAATTCGGCAATATCCGTCACAACTTGAATCCGACCAATCCACGATTATCGTTTCTAGTCTATAAAACCTGATTTCTACAACTCATCCAATCCTAGAAAATTGTCGCAAACTCCATCTTTTGCTAGTGACTCAAAGATACTGTCAAATCCATTACACCATGATTAAAGATAAAACCAATCCGCGTAAGTTTTTTGAGTGCAAATTTTTGTAGCATTCACAACCATGAGAATCATCCGTTCAAATCATCGAACAACTGCAATTCCTTGTAAACTCAACTCTCAACATGATAAAATTTTTTACTTCACACACCGATGAACAGATTCATCACGTTCGATTAATAAGCTCACATCCAGATTTGAATCTATCACTAACGTAGCTTTTCTTCTCCATCATCTCCTTTCATTTCACTTTGATCCCTCCCCTTTGCTAATAGTTTTCTCTTTGAGAATTGCACAAGAAATTGAAGTTAAAGAAATCCTTGTTCGAGTTTCCAAAATTTGATCTACAAAGCTTTAGCACAGAAATTAGATATACAAGAAGCATCAACCGTAGCACTCAAAATTTGAGCTTCTTACACACAATTTTACAATTGCAAATAACTTTCAACTCATATGGGTTTCTGTTTGATAATTTCCTCCATTCTCCAACAAAACCCAAATGAGAGTTTTTTGAATGAATTAAAACGTGCGAACCATGCTGGCAAACACAAAACTTTACATCAAGTCGAACCCAACTCACTTTGACTTAGCGACCTAGAGTTAAAGCTAGCAGGACCAAAGCTTTCCTACGCAATAGGATCAACTCAACAAACTAAACGTTCTTCGAGTTTCTCCGACTATATACCCTTCAACCTCTAATCTTAGACCAATTCAAAAAATAGAAAATTCAAAGACACATGACATGTAACAAGTGTGATAAGAAGAAGAAATGTCCAGATCCATACATCATCAACAATTTTTGATGAGATCTAGAGAGCATAATCCTGGTATTATAGACCGTTTGTGTACAAATCGTTTGCCTCGGTATCAAGATGCTATGTAACGTTCGTCACTTAGGTGGAGGTAGTAATTGTCATCGGCAGAACTTCATGATGTGGCCTTTTTTATCACATTTTCAACAAATAATATTCTTCTTGTCAAATGGCTGAGCCATAAACTAGACTCTCCTTCGCTAAAAAGATCTTGATCTTTGACTCTTCAATCCCAAACGCCGTTAATCGTTGTTATTCATTGATTGTGATTGACCTTGGGTCATAATAAGTGTTGTCTCAAAAGTGAATGGGATGGAGTAAATTAACATTTGCTACTCTACCGCAACCATTAGAAGGACATTAACAACCTCGTTGTAAGTGAATATCGTGTTTTGACGATGAAAAAGAATCTTTCATAGCGTCTGATATATAGACGGCAATGAGTTGAGAATATGCATAGCCTTCTTTGTGTTACAAGCTCCTC